TACTATCAGCGCCAGAATATTGACAATCCTGGGCATGTTGCTGTTGTTTTGCCCGAGTGCAAAGGTGTTATTCTCTTCCAGCAGATGGCACATGTAAGCGTAGATGTACTTGCTTTCCTCTTTGTCTTACGTTACGGGCAGCCAAGATATGAACTCGGCGTTGATTTAATTAATGTCCGGTACGTTGTCTTTGTGCGCCATGCATACTTTGGCTGTAGTGGGTGTATAGTAATAGGGGGTAAGAAGAGATTTATAGAAAGAACTAGGACGGGTGAGGTAATGCTTCTATCGCCCGATAAAAAAACATACATACATACATACATACATACATACATACAAATATATATACATATACATATACATCATATGCATATACATATACATCATATGCATATACAAATATGTATACTATGAATATTATTTTATGTTGTATACACATAGTATTCATCCATCGTAAACACATATTTGCATACCGATAGCTGATATCGCATTCTCCGTGCAGTGTACATTATCCGCACTCTTAGCCTCGGGCATATTTATAACCTTACACAACGGTGCAATGCTGGCTTGTATCATGGGGATGTATGCTGGGCCACCAAACTTCGCAATCACCCCCATCCCATACACAGCAGCGTGCCTTACATGTGTATTGGGATCCAAAAGACTCGCCGCGATGGATTCTAGGAAGAACTGTAAGCAAGTTTGTTGTAGTGTTAGTAGGAGATACGCGCTTGGGCGGGGATTGGAAACAGTCGGGGCTATGTGGGTTTGGAATGAGGATGAAGTCATGCTATCAAATGTGCAAAAATAGACAAATATATGATGAAAAATGTACGTATCTATGTATGTATGTATCAAGACACATATATGTACGTAAGTATGTATCAAGACACAAATGTACGTATGTATGTAGGGATAAATTATCGAGGACCGTGGAAGAATTGATAGTATGACTGCACAGGTACACGCCTGCATGTGGAGAATATACGCAGATACGGCCACCACATACCACAAACACAGGTATATCTTATGGCGCATCATTTACAATACATGCGGACCGAAACT